TGTGTAAGTCTATTGATGTTACTAATTTATTTTAATAAGCAAATTGAGTTAACACTACAAGAACAAAGTAAATGGTTCTTGTTGCGACATTACATGCCTTGATCAACAATTATCCCTCCTATTTATCAATTTTGTTTTTTCTCCATTCAGATGTAATAGCTCAAAAAGAATAAATGATTGAGTACAAACTATTAATTTAAGCTAACAACCCTTTTTTCCCCAAACAAATAACAAAACTAACACTTATGAATATGAATAAAATAATTTTTTTCAACAAAAAAAAAGAAGAAATTAACTAAATCGATACAATGAATTTCTCAACTTTAGATAATAGTACAATTAATTTATTTATAAAACAAAAAAATAACCTCCCTATCAACACACCTCTTTTTTTAAAAAAAAAAACAATACTTGGTAGTCATTCACCTTGCTTGCCCCAATTAGTCAAAGACAAAGATAGCAAAAAAATAAACTTAGAGTGAAATCATAAACTAAAAGATGTTTATTTTGAGAAAATAGTCATCAAATCAAAAATGGTGTACGAACAAACAAAGCCATATTAGTTTGAAAAACCCTTAACAAAAAAAAAATCTTATTGCGGCATAACATCACAACAATAGTCATATAAGGAAAAAAAAATGTAAACTAATTAAACGGAAGCATAAAAGAGCTTAAATATAAGCATGCGTAAAAAGAATAACAATAGGCATGAAGGCCTTCAAAAAAAATAAAACCTTAAGTAATGCAAAAACAACGTTGTTCAAACTAGTAATAGCACGTATAAATGGACTAAAAACAAAAGAAAATGTAGAGCTATAAACAAAACATATGCTAACCTGCATAAATATAAAAGTCATCACTAAGTTTGCTTCATTGAACCAGGTTAGATTCAAGTTTTTTTTATCCAAAAAAAATTATAACTGAAAAAAATAAAGGGTAATACACATAAAAACAAAAGAAACAAAAATGATTTGTGATAAATTGACTTGTTAGATTGAATATGAGCAAAGAAACAAAAGTTATTATACAAACATAACTTGACACTATTTAAAAGATTACATAACAGGTTTGTCAATAAACATTAAAACAAATAACATTGCAAAAATCATATTATTGTTATGGTAACTGTTATTTGCCAAAAAAATGATTGTCATAATCAATTTTTACCCTATTTTACTTATCAATCCAATAGAGAACACCAATAACATGAAAAAAAACATGCAGTGGCTAGCAAATTTGGAGCAGCCTGCTACTAAAAGAAAAACAAACAACAATGAATCAACAAGCATTAAAAGTTTTTAACAAACTTTGGAAAGACAACTTAGATAATATCAATTTCTTATTATTTCCTTATCAATTTCAAATCCAAAGCACCATCCTCATCTCCTTGTTAACAATTCAAAATTAAAAGAAATAGACATTCAAGATTGTCAAATCTGTAGAAGCCTAATGTAATAAGAAAAACCGATAAACATCAAACAATGGCCAAGCCGTGCATAGTGCAAAATAATGCAAGAAAGGCAGCATAAACTATTTAAGTTTTTAATTCGTCTCTTCTTAATTTTAGTTTAAAAGGCGTACCAAAAAGAATATGAAAAACTAACAATTAAAATAATTAAATAAAAAAAGATTAGCATGCATAAAAAGAAATAGCCAAGGCTTATATCTTGTATTTATATCTATAAACCCCAATTTTTCTTTATCAAGCATAGCCTGTGAATGCGTTTGACAAACAACAACACTAAACTTAAAGATATAAAGAGTACATGGAATTAAAAGTCAACACAACACCTAACAACATCTAAAAAAGAAGACAAAACCCATGCTAG